CATTGTAACAGCTTTCTTGGTTTGTTGTATTTCCTCCAAGGTTTAGCAACTTCCCCCAGTGGTTAGTACAGCACTCCAAGCAACTAATCCTCTATCTATAAACTGTAATGTCAAAGGATTAATGTGTGCCTGGGAACGCAGGTCAAATCTGCTTTAGATCACAACAGTTTGAGTTCAGCTCCTAGCTGAAATATCACGAAACTACCATATAATTTAGCACAACTCTTGCATTCCTGTACTTCAACTGCTGATTGCTTTTAATAAAAAGAGGCCCAGGATTGATTTCCCTGAGAATGTATTTTTCTTTGTCTAAAACCAAAGGAATATCAACTGGAAAGTAGAAGGATTTCTTAAAATAGTTCTGCATTCTATATAAATAGCACTTTCAAAGTCTGCTTTTAAAAATCTGTAGAAAGTACAGGTTACTGATATTTCCTGAATTTCTTCTGTTTGCTATGTTATAATGCCCAGAGCTCATAAGCATCTCTCAGTGGCTTGCCCTGCCTTACACTGGATAGCTGGGTCTCATTTGAAGCTAAAGACAATTATTTTAAAATACTTTTTACAAAAATATTAATCTAATTTGTGCAATACATGGAATGGTGTGTGCAGTAAGCAGACATATATATAACTACATTTATTTTATTTACATTGAGTCATCAGCAAAGCACAGCAATTTGTGCCTAATTTATCTGCAAATGTAATATCCAGAATCTCTCTTATTCTTGATATTTCTGTTAGGTACTGTAGTTGTGTGTCTTTGAGGGTTTTTCACACATGAATTCTTGTAATATGTTTTTACTTCCAGGAAAACGTGACAGGTATCCTTTTAGACTATTTGTTTGATTTTATCAATGAAATATATCTGAGAGTAGGTGTATTAATTCACTTGTGGTTATTGTGGGTCGGTTTTTAATTAATTTCATTCTATTTTAAGGTTACAGTGTATTCTGTTATCATAACATAAAATAATTACCAACTTTAGAATGTCTCTTTCATTATGACATATAAAAAGCAATATCATGCACCACTGTACACGTCCTTCTGAAGGGGCTGTGTGCTTGGACTCTTGTTCTCCAGACGAAATAGGAAGCAGTGTGGTTTTACTGAAACAAAAACCCCACCTGGACTGAAGTGACGGCGCCTGACTGCTGCCGTCCGGCGGGTCCCCGTCCTCCCACAGCAAGTGGCTGTGCTCGCGCTCTGAGGCACTTGCTTCAAAACCCATAGAACCAACCATTTCATAACAACGTTCTTCTTTGCTTTGTCTTTTAAAAAATTTAACCTGGGCATGCCACAAAGCCTGACTAGTGTCTGAAGTGCAACGCACTTGGGAAACCAACTCCATGTCAAGTGGAGACTCGTTTAAAAATTAAGTCTCCTTGGCTGGGATGCGGGGCTGTAGGATTTTGCTGACAATCGTTTTCTCATGACCTGACAGGTTCTTCGCTCTGTGCTGCTGTTTCCGACAATAGAGCGTATGGCTCAGTCCCCTCAAGGAAAGCTCATGACCCCTTTGCTGTGCAAGCTTCGTTACGTCCTATACATGCCCGTCTACCTGCTGTCCTTCCTACCGGAGGGAGTCAAAGCCTCCCTGGTGCGGTTTGCTCTGCGAGGAATGAAGACCTGTGATGAATCTTCCATAACAACCTCTGTGAATCTCTTCAGCGTGGACTGCATTGGTGAGCAGCATTTTTTTTTTCTTTTGTTGCACCAACTTTTATAATGTTCTCATTTGGTGTAGTTTTGTGAGCAAAAGCTTAATAGTAAAACATGAACAATTTCAGAAGAACAGGTCTAATCTTTTCTCAAATTAAGGCCACAGGTACAGGAAAATCTCAAATGAGTTAATTTAGAAAAAAGAAAAGTCTTAAGGGGAAAATAACAAATAAAATATTTCCTCAAAGAATACATATTTCTTAAGAAAACTGACCTATACTACTAACAGTATCTCATGTGATTAAAAAACTGTTTTACATTCTAGTTTATGTTACTTATATCTGCTTACTTTTTGCATTTCATTCCTATTGGGTGGTGAAAATAAATCAGTAATCAATTACACAAAGGGTTCTTTGCATCTGTTTTTTTAAAGCTATGATTTAACCAGCTGCACAGCTTTTGTCATCTGAATGGGAATATTGGTAACTTCAGAAAAGAGCCTTCAGTCTACAAAGGCACATAGAAGTTACTTTATGCACAGAAGAATTTCATCACTTTTTGGGGCATATGGAGAACGATAGAAGATGAATGTTCCTCCAGTGCTTATTATATGCATACTTTGCACAGTCTAGCAAGAGAAATAGCTTTAAGAAAGGGAATAATTTCAGATAAATTATGTTAAGTTTAGAATGAAAACCAGAACATGGATTGTGCTATACCCCAGGTATTTTGGTAGGTTAAGCGGTTGAAAACAATTTGGAATAGAATTGACGTGGTAACACAGAAATAATAGGAAGAAGGAAGTTTTGGTTGCATTAATAGTAGTAAAAACACATTCCTACATTTCCATTTGTGCTCTGTCTTCTATCAGTTAAATTTTACCTGCTAATCATCCAAACAGATGTGCCAGAGTCACTGATGGCAGCGAGATCCTCAGCATTTCATGGATATCTGTGGGTGTGTTGGTCTGTGTTGGAGGCTCATTGTAGGACTGTACGGAGACTGAACACAGAGTGGGCAGTGAGGGTTCTTACTGCCAAACCCAGACAGCCCCCTTGGTGCTGTACAAACCGGGCATAATGGCAGCTGCTTGGCTGCAGTACCCTGGGCCAGACAAAATCAGGCTCCCGGTTGATCATGTAAACTTCTGATGGGACTCCTGTGGTCTGTTACTTCAGTTCCTGTGAATTTATGGCAGATTTATGATGACTGAGGAGAAAGCAAGCATGCGGTCATATGTACAGTAGCCTTTCAGGTTTCTTCCTTTGCTAATTTAGTCACCAGAGAAAGGTATGCGAAGGTCTGCAGGGTCACATCTCCACAAGCCAGGAATCCTTCTCTGGTCCCCACAGATAAACTTGTACCTCTCAAAACAGGTTATACACATCCAGAGTTGTACTGGAAATGGTCCTTGGCCTGCATGAACCTCCAGACAAGCATGGCCAGCCATTGTTTGTGAGTGCTCTTTGGCCCAGACCATAGCAGTGGCAGGAATAATTTAACAGAACGGATTTTGTGTGCTGCTGTTGGAGCCTGACTCTCCGAGCTCTTTAGTCCCCAGGTGAAGGAGCCCAGTCGATGTGTGCGTGTCAGCCTGTTGTCATCTTCTGTGTGCACCAGTGTCCGATATGTGTCCAAGCTATAAGGTAAATTGAGACAAGAAACCAGGCTGAAGGCTCTTTACCCACAGAGTGTGATCTCTGCCTACATTCAGTTTATTGTCTGAAATCATTATACCAGAATTAAAACCCCTGTGAGCCAGTGTCTTGTAAAACTTGCATAAATAGGCCTCATTGATGCAACCAGTTCCTTTGGGCTTGTGATATCATCTCTCTCAAGCAGAATTCCTCTTTGGTTTCATCTTTGGAAACTGGTGATGTTTTACAGCCCAGTGACTCAGGACCACATGTGTGGTTTAATAATCTTAGGGCTTTCCAGATATTGACTGTTAACCTTCTCTTGTATTGTTTGTGGACAATAGAAAATGTAACCATTCAGCAAAAATGAGCTAAAACTAGCACAACAAGCGAGTCTGCCTTATGGGACTGCTTGTCTGTGAGTTACTGAGGCCTCTGAACTTGTGGTAAATATTTTTCTGATTCCTTGTCCCTTAATAAACTGCTAGATATGGTTCAGAAATGTTCAGCAAATTAAGTTGTTTCTCCTCCCCAGGAAGGCGGCATGTCAACTCTTTAAAAATACACATATTGCCCTTGGCATGTACATCTGTTGCATTACTGTAATTGTAATAAAAGCTGTGATTAAGGGCAGAAAAGATGGTAAAAGTTTCCTTAAAACTAATACGTCCGTTAAAACAAGCCAACCTGCCAGGGATTTGTTACCACATCCAAAGCTTAGTCACAACAATGTTTTCTCTTCTCTGAAAGGAAATACGATTTGAAAACTCGATTATAGCAGAACTCTAAGACCAACTGCCGCTCCCATTGACATCGAGAGTGAAAAGCTCCGTTCAGTGGCAGCAGAATCAGGCCCTTGGTTGAAGGAGTCAGTGAAGGAAGGACATTACCTATCTGTCCCACTGTTTCACATTGCGTTTGCTCCTGCTTCTTACCCAAACTCATCTTTCCATTGTCTCAACTTTATAGTTGGTGGTATGTAGAAGCCCCAGTCACACAGCAGAAGGCATTGTGATGACACTGTGCAGAAAGGGAACAAAATAGTCTTGTCCCAAAGGGGAAATAGTGCAGAAAGAGGAGAGAGAGCAGGGACTGTAAAGAAAATGGATTGTAACGAAGGATGGGAAGACACAGTGTATAAATAATACAGGAGCTATTAGAAATAAGCAAAGAGGTCTGAAGGCAGTTTGTCTACCTGGATTAAACTTCTAGCAAAGATATCTCAGGGCAGAAAAAGTATTACAATGAACAAACTAGCATTTGACTACTTGTATTCATGAGGAGATGAACAGACAGAAAAATTGGACATTTGGTGACCTTGAGTTATCTGAAACATTGTCACTCTGTTTATTCAGGCTAGGAAAACGAGACTGCTCCTATCTAGCACAGTGGTGGTGGTTCTACAAATCATATGCAGTCCTGCGATGCTGGAATATTTTGGCACTCCAGCACATTGAAATTTGTAAACATTTCTTCGGTGACAGATGCCAGTAGCAGACTTACAGTGACAGTAAACCTTTCTATCTACACGGGACAGGATTTATTGTCCAGCCGTTTGACTGGCAAACTTCCTCCATTTGTTTCTGTAAAGTTTCCACAAAAGCACAGACATTACATAATGGGTAAACACCGCAAGGTTTTTTTTCGAGAGGCAGGCTCGCAGGTCAGAGGTTAACGTCTGGATGACAGTGAAGATACAGATAAGCACAATAGGAAGAAAAAAACCTCCCAACTGGCCTAAAGGCAGTGTGTCCTTTGTGATCTTGAACCTGTGACTTCCCTGGAGGAATCTCCCTGTTTGTTTAACCGGTGTAGGGAGCAGGGGAGCACGGGAGCACATCGGTCTGGGGCCAGGGCAGATCTGCTTTGTGCAATTCAGGCAGGTTGGGAAGGAGGGGACTCAGAAACCTGAAACGAGGGTTTCAGATGGGTTCAGGCTGTCACACGAATGCAGGCTGGCGGCTAGAGATTTCCAGTTTATTTTAAGTGTCCAAGAGATGTTGTAAGAAGACAAGGAAGTCAGATTAACCTTCAGAGTCTGGAGTCAAATTTTATCTTGTCCCAAGTGTGGAGACATTCAGACTTCACGTGGAGTGTTAACGTTTCCCTCATTTTGCAGAGAAAATAGGGCTAAGGCGGTTTCAGGCACTCCACCCATAGGCAGAGGAAGCGAGAGTCCCAAAGGGGGTACTGAGGCTCGTCTCCCAGCTGCAGCTACTTCTCTGTTGGCTGTAAAGGATGGCAACGCTACATGCCCGAAGTGCCATCGAGTAAAAAGCTTTCTTGTAGGATAAAATTTGTGAACTGTCAACTAGTGTCTGGGAGATAAATTTATATCAAAAGCCCGTGAAATGTAGGCTTCGAGTTGCTGTGAAAATGGAACATAGGCTTTTACATTGACTAAGTTATTTTAAAATTTTCTCTTCAGGGATCCAACTGGAAAATTTAATTCTGGGTTTGAAATATCCCAGCCTTGGGAGTTGTCATGTCTTGAAATCTATTTCTATTCCAAATCTCTCTTCTTAATCAGAGAGATTTTAAATACAACATTATGGGTGGTCTTCACCTGACCACTGCGGGCATCATGCTGTCCAAGTAGTTGGCATCTACAGCAGGACAAGTGACTCTCACCCCACAGAGGACTCTTACTGACCTCAAAGGGATCCTCCCTCTACTGGACAGCTAAAATTAGAGGAGATAAATCCCACTCTCTCTTCTGCTGCAGACATCAGAAGTCAATGTGATGTAAATTGTCCGTGCAGTCAGATATCCTGTGCTTTGGCTGCATTAGAATTTACAGCTAATGGTTTCTAGTGAGAGTCCTGTTGTTTGTTTCTTACTTTCTTTGAAAATCCATTTTACATCTCCACCTCCATTTCCTGACAAATAAGATGGGAAATTTTTTAGAGTTCTTTTTTTGGGACTAAAATGCTGTAGAAACACCTGTCTAACTGAAATACCTGGGTAAGGACAGTGTGTGGTGTTGTCTTCATGGCACTCAGTAGCTCCTTGATCTATTCTGCTTCTATTTTTCAGAGTTGAAAAACAATGTTTGAAGTATTATGTAAGCATTTGATAAACAAATTCACATGAAATGGCAAAATGAAAGGGCTTTGCCACCGTGAAGAGTATTTTTAAAAGCTATATAACCACACAGGAAAAACTTAGTTTACTTTTCTTTCTTTGTTTTTAAATAAAAATGGTGCTCTTTTCTTGCACTGAAATTAAAATTTAACTCCTAAAAGCAACAAAGGATATGATCAGAACCTCTAAATCCTGCATGGAAGGCAGAGCTCTTCTGATTTTGTTGTATGGAACTAAAACTCTCCATTGAGACATGCAAGGCCAAGGGGGAGTTGCACATTATATTCTCATCTAGGTTTTAT